GTGGGTTCCAGATCCTGTTGCAACCGGTACGGTTGCAAAGGGACCGGGCATCCTCCACATAAAAGCATGCAGTGCGCGCACAAACGCACAGCGCGTCTATGTATCTTACCTTCCAGCGACGCCTCTAGAAGCCACCGTGATGCTCCAGCTGCTTGGCGGAGCATCGCACAGGCTTTGTATGCACCATGCGCATGCGCGGAAGCACTGAAGGCTTTAAAGAACAGGTAAGGCGCGCGGGCGAGTGGGTGGGCCCTCTGGAGCACCGTACCAGAACGGTACCTGGTGCTCTGGGCAGGCTCCGGTATGCCCGTACCACCTGGGCGTACCACCTGCAACCCACCACTGGTCAGGACTGATTTTCTGACTTTTTTTGCCATGGTCATTAAGTGAATCCTGCTTCCCCCATTGATTTTGCGTATCAGAATTGCAGTGGGAAGGTTGCAAATGGTTATCACTGCAATGGTGGTAAATACATGCCAGCTGCCAAGAGCTCAAATTTGGATCATGTGACTGTAGGAACACAGCAGTGATTCATAAGTGTGAGGATGCTTTTTCCAGCACTGTTGTGACTTCAAGAAGTCATTAAACGAATGATCGTAAATTGTAGGCTACTTGTACAGTGTAATTCTGCTCAGACAATGTTAATCTACCATTATTGGTTAAAATCTGAGTTAGGCTTGTGGTCAGCCCTGAAGCCATCTTTATTTGGCACTTCAGGGCTGTCACAGCAGTGGATGGGCAAGGTGTGGGAAAGGGACGGGGTGGCAACAGTGAGGGGTGTATAGCCATAACAATATATTTTCCTATGGGAGCAGGGGTGGGTTCCTGCCAGTTCTAACCTCTTCTATAGAAGAGGTTCCACAAATCTACAGTGCCATTTAGAACCGGTTCCAGCTCCCTCCCTCCCCCCATCCGTCCAAACATCATCAAGATGAAGAGCGAGAGGAGGAATTCTGTGAGTTGAAGTCCACAAGTCTTAAAGCTGTCAAGTTTGAACACCTCTGGGGGTTTTTTTCTAAACGGTTAGGGGTGCGAGGGTCTTATAACTTGACAGCTTTAAGACTTGCATGCTTCAAATGCCAGAGTTCCTGAGCCAACATTTTGGTTGCTAAGCAAGTTAAGTGAGTTTCACCATATTTTACAAGTTGGCCATGCCCACCTGGTCACATGGCCAGCAAGATACTCCCACAAAGCAGGCCACACCTACAGAAGAGGTTCTAAAAAAATTTGAAACCCACAACTGCATGGGAGACAAGGACGTTCAGCCTGAACCTGGAGAGGCGTGACTGGGTGTCAACTCCAATTGGGACAGCGACCATATTGGACCATGTGACGCCCATGTGGATGCAGGGGAAGGAACTTTGACTTTACTTTAGGTGGGGAAAACCGGGGAGGGGGGAGTTTTCAGATTCAGTTTCTCCCAGATATGTCAATATGACCTCTGTAATAAACTCAAGCTTGGAGGAAAATGCCAGCCTTGGAGTTTTGATTGCGTTGTGGGTGTTACTTGGTATCTTGACACTTGTGGTGTTCTTGTATGAATCTTGTATAAATCATATACAGCATTTGTACAGGAGCTGTAAAGTTTCATGTTTACATTCAGAGTATCATGTGTACTCCCATACCAAATTTAGATAGGGACAGATTCAGAAAGTAAAGGCAGGGAGATAATCGCCCTCTGACTCACTTGTTGACTCACTCATTTAAGAGTTTCACTGGGTGTTAAGATACTTCGCTAGCAGTGAAATTCAAACTTCAAACCCATATGCAACATGAGCTGGCAAGGAGATAGGCTCTCAGTTTCTGCTGAAATGTGTGCCACACAATCGTTGTCACAGAATTAATCAGCATAACAGGAGGATCATACTCCTGCCGCGAGAGACATAAAGTTCTTTCTCACATGCAAAAGGAGGAGGATTTCAAGGTAGCAGCCAGGAACATCTCACCCATTTTCATATAGTTGGGTGGCTCACACGCAACAGAATGGGTGGGTGTCAGGGGTGGGTTGCTGCCGGCGTTACTGCTGGTGCGCAACTCATGTGCCAGGTGCGTGCTGTTCAATGTAAATTGTTCCACGCACATGCGTGGAACAATTTACAGTGAACTGCACATACACAGTCACTAAAATCCAAAATGGCGGGAGCCAAGCGGCAGTGAGGGAACCGGTTCGGGAGCCCGACAGGCCTCGGTCACTGCTGGTTCTGCGACCCAGGCCTGAATTCCACTACCGGTTGGCCAAACTGGGCTGAACCAGCAGCAACCCACCTCTGGTGGGTGTGTAAGGGAAATTCACTGATTTAATACTTGTGAGATTGAATTTGGACAATGGCAAATTCTAGTAGCGGCCTGTAACAATTCCCCATGTGTGCATTGCAAGAGTGTATTACTATTTCTCTACTAGAAGTAAAAACGATCTCTTGCTAAAAAGTATATAGTACTCTGTTGAAGAAGTGTGTTTTGCAACAAAACATCACACAAAATCATTTGTTAAATGGTCCACCTTTTCTAATAATAGTCCATTGCTTCTTCTCTGAGCGTACTCAATTCTCATAAAATAGTCCTAATGTTGTTGATGATGATTGTCTCTTAAAAGATGATAGCACTGGATTATTTCACCCCACCCCGACCGGCTTTTTGAAAGGTCTGGGTTTCCCTACAAGTAAGCTAATACTCCAAACTGGTTTTCCATAACCATCTTTTAGGAATATAGATTTTCGGACTATAAGACACACCGGTGTATAAGACGCACCAAGATTTTGAAGAGGTAAGTAAGAAAAAAAAAGTCTTTGTTCTCCCTGGCCCCCAGGAGCACTCTTCAGCAGGGCTGGGGGAAGGCAAAAATGCCAGTTTTTGCAAAAAACAGTCAGCAAATGGGCTGGTTTTTTTGAAAAACGGGGGCATGTTTCCCTTCCCCCCAGCCCTGCTGAAGCCTGCAGAGTGCTTTTGGGGGCTGGACGAAGGGAAAAACGCCTCCGTTTTTGCAAGAAACAGCTTGTTTTTCACAAAAATGGGATGAGGGGGCAGGGCTTCTGGAGGCCAAAAATGGCTGTATTGGGTGTATAAGATGCACCAACATTTCCACGTTCTTTTTTGGGGGGGTGCGTCTTATACTCCGAAAAATATGGTAAATTTACTGCTCAGTGTTCTAAGGTGTGGCCTTTTCCAAAATGCATTCCCTTTCTCTCTCTCTCTCTCTCTCTCTCTCTCTCTCTCTCATACACACACACACACACACACAGATACATTTCTCTCTCTCTCTCACACACACACACACACACTGATACATTTCTCTCTCTCTCTCTCTGTCACATACACACACACAGAAACATTTCTCTCTCTCTCTCTCTCTCTCTCTGTCTGTCTCTCTCTCTCACACACACACACACTGATACATTTCTCTCTCTCTCTCTCTGTCACATACACACACACAGAAACATTTCTCTCTCTCTCTCTCTCTCTCTCTGTCTGTCTCTCTCTCTCCCTCC